TTATTTCTGATAAATGTACTCTAATATTATTTACTTTGTTATTTGAATATGCTATTTTGTCCTGATAAGAAAAATTAAAATCTTGTCTTCATCCTTTGTTCTTTGTGTTCTCTTGGGAAATTTGGGACTAGGTTATTTCTTTCTAGCTAAGAAAAAACTCATTGAAATAAAGCAAAGATAAAAAATACAGTTTCTAGCTAATAGCTGTAGAACTGGATTTTTCTCTCTAAGAGAGAGAGAGAGAGAGACAGACAAACAGACAGACAGACAGATACAGAGAGACAGAGGGACAGAGAAAGAATTATGAGGAAGAAAAGGAGGAGGAAAAGATAAGATTCAGTTTCTTGGGAAAATGAAACCTATCCCATTGGCTGTGAGGATTTTTGAAGGTGGGCTGTTCAGTAGCAGGGCCCAGTGACAAGATCAGATGCTGAGTCACATGTAACATTCCTTCCTGCATGTCAGAAATACCGATGACAACATAAAAAAAGTGCAAAGGTAAAGAGGGAGGTAGCTGGGGGCGTATAGAGAGGAGGGAGGAGAGGAAAAGGTCAGGCTGTTGGAGAGACTGGCCTTTGACATGCATGTATGAGAACAGAATAATGAAACCTATCAAAAACTATGAATAAAAGGAGAGGGGATAAGAAAAACGTAATAGAGGATAAGAAAAAAGTAATAGAGTGCGATAAAGTAGGTGATATACATGTAAGGACTTGTCACAGGGAAATCCTTATGTACAATTAATATGTACCAATAAAAAATAAAATAAGAGGAGAAATGCAGAACCATCTCCAAGTTATGACTGAGCAATACATAGGACTACAATAAAAGCAGTTCAATTTGACCAGATTTAGTCTCTGCTAGTAGCTGTGCCAGACACTTTTATCAACAAGAACCATTTACCTCTGTCGCAGTGTCGCAGGCAGGAAGGAAGGCTGGGTGTGTCCCTTCATGAAATAACAACTGGAAAGGAAGTGCTAAGTTGTCCCCACAGCACAGGGAAGGCCAGCACAACCAGAAGCACTGGAAACCTCACCCTGCTGTCATGGCCATCAGCTGAGTTCAACAGGCTAGCCACACACACACACACACACACACACACACACACACACACACACACACACACACCCCTCTCCTCCACCTCCCCCCCCCCCCCCCCCCCCCCCCCCCCCGTCTGGTGTTGCCACTAGCATTCAAAAGCAGCAAATGCCTTTGAACCATGCTCAGAACAGCACATTCACAGGCTTTCCTTGCTGCATGCACAAGGCTTTGTTTATTCTTGCTTAGCCTTTTATTTGAAACTAAGAAGACTTAGAAGATAGAGGAAATAAAATCATACTAATGATTTCTCCACCAATAGCCCCAGCCAACCAGTAGGCAAATAAACAAGAACAAAGCAAAACTTAGATCAGATGTTTGAATTTTCTGGAGCTTGGATGGCAAGCCCCTCCCCCCACCCCTTACTGCTATGTCCAGGCAGAAAAATCACGAGGGGATGGGGAAGAATTCCCTCTGGCCAGCTTCTGTTCTGACCGTGGTGAGGCCCAAGTGTGGGAATTTATACACCCATGCTTTTTACACAGTGAGAGCCACAGCTCTGATTGAATTTAGTACCTTCCCTGTTTAGTACTGCCAGTGGAAGGAGTACATCCTCAGGACCTTGGTTAAGGGTATGCATACTGTGAAGACAATATAGAGTTACTAGCTTAATCATTGGTCTAGGAAATACCAGGAGGGTTTATATAGCTCTGGGAGTGATCATTCTCTTTTAAAATTCCACTAAAACAAGAGTCAGAAATTGAAGAAAGACCTAATTCACTGGGACAAACAGAAGGGAAAAGATGGTAGTAACAAAACATTAGAATCCAGAAACAGCATGGACACTACTTAATAGCCCCAAGAAATCTCAAATCATGTCAGTAAAGAGGGAAGAAAGAGTGAACTTTGCCCTCAGTACCATCCCCTTCTCAGGATCAGCCCTTCAGGACCACGACCTACCTTACCTCAGTCATTGCCGGGGGACCCATGCTCCTGGAGGTTAACATGAAGAAATTCTGATAGCCAGAAGGCTACTGGGGAAGTCTAAGAATTAGGCCAGCTGCACACCAGTGACTTACACCTGTAATCCTAGCTACTCAGGAGGCTGAGCTCTGACGTCCATGGTTCCAAGCCAGCCTGGGCAGAAAAGGCAGTGAGACTTTTATCCCCAGTGAGCTACCAAAAAAATCCAGAGATGGAGGTATGGCTCAAGTGGTAGAGTGCTAGTGATTAGCAAGAAAAGCTGAAGGACAGCACCCAAGCCCTGAATTCAAGCTCTAGGACCACACACACACACACACACACACATACACCACACGCATGCACACACACCACACGCATGCACACACACACCACATGCATGCACACACACACACCACATGCATGCACACACACACACACCACACACATGCACACCACACACATGCACACACACACACACCTCACACGCTTGCACACAGTAGGGCAACCTATGTGTTCCCCTCCAACACACCACTGGGATTGATTTATCTTTGGAGAAGTTGATCTCTGGACCATGAACTACTAGGCACAAGGGAGGCAGGAACTTTGTAATGAAAATAACTGTTTACATGTCCATATCCTTGATATTCTTCATCTACATGCCCCTGAGATTCTGCAGCCAGGCTAGGGCATCCAGGATTGGTAGTGTTATGGTTTGAGCATGAAATGCGCCCCTCCCAGACTTGTGTATATTGATTACTCCATTCTCAGCTGGTGGTACTATTTCCGTACTATTTAGTAGGTGGGGACCAGCTGGAGGAAGCCGGTGTCTGGGGGCATGCTGTGAAGGTTATGCCTGGTCCCTCCCTGTCCAACTCCACACACCACATCACCAGGATGTTTTGCCTTGCCTCAGACCCAAAGCAATGAAGCCAGCTGCCCATGGAATGAATCCTCTGCTTAGTTGTTCTGTCAGGATGGGAATGGTTGGTGATGGTTAAGTGTGACTAATATAGCCAGTATAGGACATGTTTTCTGTTGCCTCAGCAACATAAAATATAGAAGTTATATATGTTAATGTTCTTTGTTTGTTTGTTTCTGTTGTTTGTGGAGCCTGAGGTCTGGCCTTGGCACTGTCCCTCAGCTCTTCAGCTCAAAGCTAGGGCTCTACCACTTGAGCCACAGCACCACTTCAGGCTTTTTCTGCTTATGTGGTGTTGAGGAATAGAACCCAGGGCCTCATGCATGCAAGGTAAGCACTCTACCACTGAGCCACCTCTGAGTCCAAGTTAATGTTCTTATACCAGAAATAGGGACCAATTGCTCCTGACTCCATTTACTGTTTTCCACTTCCTCTCAGTGGTCCATCTAGATATCTGCCTTCGATAACTTGTTCCTGGTGACTACTTCCCTGGGGAGCAGCTGGATACAATGTACTTAGTGGCTCATCCCACTTGTCCTGAGACCTTGCGCAGATTGTGCAGAATGGCCACACTGCCTCTGTCACAGCTATCGGAGACTGCCTGATTGCTCTAAAGCTGTCCATTTGAACTCCTCAGGGGAAATCAGCTTGGAATCCTTGCTCTCCTTCTCCTGTCGTTGTCCAGGGGAGTGGGGGGGGGCAGGTGGCTCCCATGTCCTGTGGCCCTGAAGGACCTCCTGCCCTTTCTTCTCTGGGGTCTGTGAGGAACAAAGTACTCTGTTACTTCATGAGTTTGGTAGAGCTGTCTCCTTTTCTCTCAGCTGACAGCTCCTCCCTGATGAGAGCTCCCCAGAGAGGCTGTTTTTTGAGGGGATTAACTGGGTATGGGCCAGGCAAGAGCCTCAAGGGCATCCTTCCATAGAGACATGTTCCCAATAAGGGGATTTGCACATCTAGGCATGAGGACATCCTCCAGGATAAAAGAAGTACCACGTGAAAGGCACATGGTTAACATCCATGAATCCCATCAGGGCAGGACTAGCTTCCCTAGCCACTCTCCTGAAAAAGAAATCTCCAGACCAAATTCAAACAGGCAAGCCAACATCCAAGGGACAACTGAAGGTCTCTTGGGGATGTCCCCAGCCATTCTGAAACTCAGTGAGGGATTGTCCATGGAGGGGCTCAGCTAAGTCACAGTCTCCCCTTCCATGGCCGGGCTGCCCATGGACATGCAGGAAGGCTCAGACATAGAAAGGAAGCTGGTGTAAGCCCTGCTGTCTGTCTCTAGTCCTCTCCCTCCTTTTAGTAAGAGTAGCAGCTGGTCCTATTTCCTGTCCATCTAGAGACCTAAAGGGCCAAAGTGGCTGCCTCAAGGTTCTAGAAGACAGTGGGCATGGAAAGGGATTCTGAGTTGAGTGAAGGGTAGGAGGCTTGGGGGGAGGGGGGAAGGTGACATGACTTCCATAGTGCTCAAACTAGCGGAGGAAGGCAAGGCGGTGACCTCAAAACCCTGTTTTCTCTCCTTTTGAGTCCCCACAGATGTCCCAAGGCACCGCTGAAGTACTTTAAATAGCCATAGAGAAATCTCATTTGTTGGAATAAGATAAAAAAAAAACAAATGGCATTTAGAAAAAGAAAAAAAAAAGGCACACTGTGTGATAGTATGGTAGAACCAGGGCCTGTGACTCAGCACAGACAAGCAATCTGCTCCTCAAAGACAGGCTTGCCCTGACTGCTTTGTGGAGGGTAAAGAACGCCTCAGAGTTGATTCTAAGGATTATTTGGGCATGCTTGCTACTGCTGTTGTTGTTTTAGTCCTAGACTGAGAATCCTTGAGGGTTATTTCGGGTGGAACTAGTTACAGTCCACTGGCTCAACTCTCTCCTTGCTGCCCCCAGTCTGCATTCCAGGAAGCAAATTGACTTCCAGATTATAGAATCTCAAACTGATGATAATAAGATTTGAGAATGAGTCTATTGGGGGCCCTCCCCCAGCCAAAGTCTCTGGAGTATCTGTGGTAAGAGGGATTTATGAGGAAAAGGAACATTTGAGCATATGACAAGGAACATTCCACAGCAGACACAGAGCCAGGCTTTTATTTCTTAACTTCCTCTGATGGGGGGTCCTCCTCTGGACCCTCCTCTTCTGGTTTCTTGTTGGAACGTCCCAACCAAGCCCCCACCACGGACCCGGCAGAGCCCAGAAGGACATTGGACGAGGCAGAAAGTCCAGCTGCTCCTGAGTTGGAGACAGAGGATGAGCATAGGGGGTAGTGGGCAGAGATGCACAAAGATCCCCTAGAATTCTCCCCTTGATGTTCTGAAGCCCCCAGGGCTCTGCTTTGGGCAGAAGATGCTGGACCGTGGCTGGGAAGATGGTGTGGAGTTGTGGGGATAGATAGACCCCCCCCCCCAAATCTACAGGTTCCCACTTTCCCACAGGAGGCCACAGAGGGCCAGAGAAGAGTGGGGACATACCCAGAGATTCTGCCCCAGCCAAACAGGCCGGTGGGGCCCCTTCCCTCCTGGCTAGCCCCCCCCACCCCCCATCCTAGCCCCAGGTCAGAATGAGTCAGAAGGAAGCAAGGAAGGGGGAGGCCAAGGGTCCTGGACAGCTCTGATCAGGACGGAGGCCTCCCCACTAGGGGGCCCTGGCCTGCTGTGCCCCCCTCAGGACACTCACCCACCGACTGCAGGGTGGCCACCAGGCCACCGGCAGTCACGCCGCCCCCGTTGGCGACAGCGGCCGCAGACATCATCTTGGCGGCCACGGAGGAGGCGGCGATCCCGGCCGTGGTGAAGCCCAGGGCTCCCAGGGTGGCGGGCACCGCAGCCACCGCCAGGGCTGCAGCGGGAGAGGGGACGGGAGGAGGACGGGAGGAACCTGCTGCCCGCTGCAGGACCTTGGGGTCCGGGGGCGCCGACGGGGCAGCACCGCCCCCTCCCCTCCCTCCCCCCTCCCTCCCTCCCCCCCAGCTGACAGTGTAAGAGCTGTGGGGGGGGGGCGCCGATGGGGCAGCACCGCCCCCCTCCCCTCCCTTCCCCTCCCTCCCCCCCAGATGACAGTGTAAGAGCTGTTGGGTGGGGGGCTCCGACGGGGCAGCACCGCCCCCTCCCCTCCCTCCCCCTCCCTCCCTCCCAGATGACAGTGTAAGAGCTGTTGGGGGGGGCGCCGATGGGGCAGCACCGCCCCCTCCCCTCCCTCCCCCTCCCTCCCTCCCCCCCAGATGACAGTGTAAGAGCTGTTGGGGGGGGCGCCGATGGGGCAGCACCGTTCCCTCCCCTCCCTCCCCCTCCCTCCCTCCCCCCTCCCTCCCCTCCCCCCCAGCTGACAGTGTAAGAGCTGTTGGGGGGGGCGCCGATGGGGCAGCACCGCCCCCTCCCCTCCCTCCCCCTCCCTCCCACTCCCCCCCAGCTGACAGTGTAAGAGCTGTTGGGGTGGGGGGCGCAGGCTGGATCCGGGGAGATCCTGGGGGGGGGGGACAAACCTCCTCCGATCACAGCCGACACCACCGTTTCTAGGGAGAGAGGAGGACAGTGAGCCGTGGGGTGTTAGAAGCCCCTCCTCACCGTGGGCCGCCGGCCGGGAGGGACTCACTCTTCATGGCGGCGAGGGGTCCACTTCCCAGCTGCTCAGAGATGAAGCGACTGTGCGGCCGGCCGCAGCCGGCCCAGCCAGTCCCGAGGTGCCCCGCCCTGCGCTGGCTCCCTCCCTTTCCCCTCCCTCCCTCCCTCCCTCCCTCCCTCCCTCCCTCCTTCCCTCCCTCCCTCCCTCCCTCCCTCCCTCCCTCTCCCCTCCCTTCCTCCCTCCCTCCCTCCCTCTCTCTCCCCTCCCTCCCTCCCTCCTCTTTCCTTCCCTCCTCCCTTCCCCCCCCCAGCCCCAGCCAATCACCCCCACCCCCGACCTGCCCCTGGTCACAGCCCGGGTTTGGAGGGCCAGGGGTTAGCATATCCACCCCTGTTTGGGCTTGACAACCTCCATCCTAGGTCCTCTGCCCTGTCCCCACATCAGGTGACCAGATCAAGCCTGGCCACAATCCCCCCACCTCCACCTGACCTGCACCCCCCTACACCTCCCCTCCCCTCCACCCTCTACCCCCCCCCCCCCAGCACACAAAACAAATTCCCTTCCATTACATGTCTGTCACTCTGCAATATGTGACCCCTTCCACTGACACTGTGCACAGGACTTAGCAAATTGCTCCTTTTTAACTAAATAAATAATTAATGTCTGTGCTGCTCCTGGACTTAACTCAGGGCCTGGGCATCTGTGCCTGCTCAAGTTAGAAATAAAAGTCTCACAGGCTTTCAGGCCTGAGGCTGACTTTGAATCATGGGTCTCAGATCTCAGCTTCCTTAGCAGCTAGGATTACAGACATGAGCTACTAATGCCCGGTTAAGTTACCCCTTTTATTTAACCAGTCATTTAGATTTCTTTTAAGTTGATTTAGTATTTTTCAATGAGACTTTTTTTTAAAGCCAAGTTTATTGAGGTCTAATTTACATAAAAAATAAGCCAACCTGGGCTGGGAAGGTAGCTCAGTGGTAGAGCGCTTTCCTTGCATGCATGAGGCCCTGGGGTTCAATTCCTCAGCACCACATAAGCAAAAAGAAAAAAGCCGGAAGTGGCGCTGTGGCTCAAGTGGTAGAGCGCTAGTCTTGAGCTGAAGAGCTGAGGGACAGCGCCCAGGCCCAGGGTACAGGCCCCACAACCGGACCCCCCCCCCCCCAAAAAAAGCCAACCTTTGAGCAGAAGCAGCATTTACAGTCAGGGAACACCAGCTGAGGTACCAAATAATCCATTCCCCCCCCCCCCACCCCCACCCCCCCCCCCCCCCCCCGTTTCCAGTAAATACAAAGCTGGAGGCTTTTCCATTGTCACCCCACACACAGTTTCCAGTGCCTGCCCCTATCTCTTTCCAGAACTTCAGCAGGACATTAATTAGCATCACACCTTTCCTTCTGTTGATGGGCTATAATTCTGTGTACCAGCCTTCTTTTCAAGGGTATTATCGGAAATGTCTTGGGATATTGGAGTGATGTGTAGAAATAGCCCAAGACCTTGGTAAAAGTAAAATTTACTTCTGCACAAGAGCTTAGTATGAGCAAGGGAAAAAATATGCTTCTTAGCAAGTTGAAGTCTGAGGATTGCAGCCAGCCCAGACAGGAAAGTCCATGACACTTACCTCCAATTCACCAGCAAAAGGCCAGAAGTGGAGCTGGGGCTCAAATGGTAGATCATCAGCCTTAAGCTAAAGGACAATGAGTTCAAGCCCCAGTGCCAGCACACACAAAACAAAACAACTCTCAGCATAGTTTTTGTTGTTGTTGTTGGTCATAGAGTCTGAACTTTGGGCCTGAGCATTGACCTTCCACTCTTCAGCTCAAGGCTAGTGCTCTACCACTCTAGCCACAGGGCCACTTCTGGCTTTTTCTATTTATGTGGTGCTGAGCAATTTAACCCAAGGCCTCATGCATGCAAGGCAAGCACTCTACCACTGAGCCATCTTCCCAGTCCTGGTTTTGGTTTTTAATAGTTCTGGAATTTGAACTTGGGGCCTCCTGCTTAGCTAAACTGGCAGTCTGCCACTTGAGCCACTCACCCAGCTTCAAGGAGTTTGAAAAGACAGTAAACATGAACTACCACCTTGGCTCAATGATATTTATTTAGAAAATGTGAGAAGCTTTTGAATTAGACCTTGTTAAGCGAGTTGGTAGAAAACTGTTCCGTTGATATGTCAAACTAATGAGTAGGAGGGTTAGGCTAGAATGATCTTCACTTACTTTTTTCAAAAGTAGACTTATTTATGGTATTTCCTGTGTTTCCTCACAGTCTATAGGAAACAGATCCATTTCTTGGTGTCAGATTCTGAGGATTGGATCCGGTCTCTCCTCACTACTGGGGTTTTGTCTGTCCCAAGTTCAAGGTGGTGGTTCAAATAGTTCATTTACATCTTTCTAGTATACATCAGTGATTGGTTCATGCTGTCTCAGGGCATTGAGGCAAACTTCCTGTTTATCAATGTGCACAGGGAATTCTGGCACATCAAGTGCTCAGTGCCTCTTGGCATCCTTTCCAGGTTGCTGTGCCATGGCCAGCCAGCCTCATCACTGGTCACAAACTGACTGCTGAAAGCCTTCTGGGTTTCTGATCAGCTAGTGGAATGGGCCACATTTTCTGGGATATGATAATGACTAGCACATCTTTCTAAGGGGGCTTCCCAGAGAGCTGCGGTCTTGATGCTGCAGTGATGGTCTGTTTGCTAGCATTCTTTGCCTTGTTCTGACAGCCATTTATGACCCTGCCCGCATCAGCGGGCAGTTTCTGCTTTGTTTTAAAATTCTAAGACTCCAGGTAAGGAAGTGGAATCTTCCACCTGGAAATGCAGAGCACCTTGTGTCTTGTCCATCTGTGGATCCACTCTGAGGCTGTGGGGACAGACTCGGGACACCTGCTGCCCAGGGCCCTCTGCGACCTTTGCCACAAGTTCCAGTGAAGACTCAGAAGGCCTTGTATCCCAAAGGGACCTCCAAGGTCCTCCTGGAGGCCTGCCTTGGTCCAGTACTGACTCCTGTGCTGCTCACTGCTGGTCCCAGGCACCCAACAAGGACGGCCCTGGAGTTACAGAGCCATAGGCAGAACTTGGGTGAGGCACCACAGTTTGATCACTGAGAAGGGATGTAACTGAGGGAAACCAGAAGAAACCTTCTAGCTTTCAGTGGATTCATTTACTATTTTTGAGGCCATGCAGATAAGGGACATTAAGTCTCCTCCTAACTTTGCTACAGGTAATAACTGCTCACATATGGTTTATGGTCACAACTGCCTATGTTACTTTGCAGGGACATGAAAGCTGCTTTCTCTCTGCTTTCTCAGATTGAGCTATAGATAACTCAAAGTAATTTCAAGGTTCGAGGGGAACATCTTACTCCTGTGTTGACAGGTATATCAGATGACAGTTTCCAAAGCGGATAAGGCATCAAACCGACACATCCATGTCCTCTATCCTGTGCTCACCAAGTTCAGATACATGGGGAGAAAAGGCCCCCAGAGGCCCTGGCTCCCCAGAGGCACGCTTCAGGGTGGGGAATGGCATGAGGGCCCCAAACCTCTTTCTGGAACTGTTGAGAGACAGAGATTTACCAAAGATCCTTTTTTTTCCTTCCTTCCTTCCTTCCTTCCTTCCTTCCTTCCTTCCTTCCTTCCTTCCTTCCTTCCTTCCTTCCTTCCTTCCTTCCTCTTTCTTCCTTTCCCCTCCCTCCCTCCCTTCCTTCTTTCCTTCCTTCCTTCCTTCCTTCCTTCCTTCCTTCCTTCCTTCCTTCCTCTTTCTTCCTTTCCCTCCCTCCCTCCCTCCCTCCCTCCCTCCCTTCCTTCTTTCCTTCCTTCCTTCCTTCCTTCCTTCCTTCCTTCCTTCCTTTCTTTTTCTTTCTTTCTTTCTTTTCTCTCCTGGTTCAGTATTTTTTTCAGTGTGGGCTTGGTAGCCATGAATTTGAATTTCTTTGCTATGGAAGTGTTTTGGCTTTTCCAATCATGAAAAAAGATAGGTTTCTTGGGCACAGTAATTAGGTTGGCGGTTACATTTGTTCAGTGCCTGAAAGATGACCATTTCATGCTTCCTTGCTTTAGTTTCTGTTGAGAAATGGCTGTTCCGATAAGTTTGCCTTTATAAGTTCCCTGATGCTTTGCTTCACAGCTTTCATTATTATTTCCTTTTTTTGCTTACTTACTTTCGTGAAATGGGAGTTTATTTTCTGCTTGGTATCCTAAAAGCCTCCTCTACCTGGATGTCCATCTCAAGTTTTAAGAACTTTTCTGATTATTGGTTGAATTTTTTTTTTTGCTATCAGCTTGCATCTCTTCTAGGCTCATGATTCATAAGTTTGGTCTTTTCATGGCATACCAGAGCACATTTTTGCAAACTTTGTATTATTATTTTCAATGTTTTGATCTAATTTACAGCTTGATCCAGTCTTGATTAGGCTTTAGGCTTTTACCTGATGAAACTTTTAATTATCTGAATTTCAATTTGTCCCTCCCCCCCACTCTGATTTCGATATCTTTACTGAATTCCTCATCTTGTGTGGCATTCCTGTATTCAGCTGGATGTTTGCATTGTTTCAATTTAAGTAGTATATTTGCATACCCTTTGAATTCTTGGAGTTATCTGTGCCCTCTTTAATAGTAATATTTGTTGTGTTTTTGGTGGCACTGAGGTACTCTGAGCCTTGCTCTTGATAGATAGATGCTCTTCTACTTGAGCTATGTCCCCAGTCCTTTTTGTTCTTAGTCATTTTTCTGGATACGGTCTTGTGTTTTTGCCTGGTGCTAGCTTTGATCCCCAATCCTTACCTTTACCTCTCATAGAGCTGGGATTACAGATGGTGAACCACCTCACCCAGCTTGTTCAGATGGAAGTTTTACTGAAGTGTTCTCTCTCCCCTCTCCCCAGACCCCCAAGGCTGGCCTTGAACTGTATTCTTTCCCATCTTTGTCCCTGAGTAGCTGGGATTATTAATTTGTGCCACCACATTGGTTATCATTCTTTTCCATTTTTTGGTGTTTCATCTACTTCCCTTGTATTAGACTCCGTTTTGTGGAGTCTCCCTATTTTGGAGGAGTTATGTTACCCAGTTCATACTGTGACTTCTACTGAGATTTGTGCATCTGAGGCCAAGACATTGAGAGTTTTCCCCACT